CTCTCCCGGGTGAGTGGTGGCAGGGGAGCCGGGAACTGAGGGGACGCGAGCCCCCGGCACATGGGACGTGGTGGTGGCCCTGCCTGCACCCAACACTGGGGCACATCTCTGAGGACAGGGAGGAACTCATTCCCGGGGAATCCAGGAGCTCCCGGGGAAGCACTGTTGGGTTTTTTGCTTTCAGCAGCCTGGGAAGATCCAGGACCAGTCCAGCTCCATGCATGGAGACATGGGCTGCCTTCCTCCCGACCTGCTTTCCCCCATCCAGAGCAGAGGAGGGATGCCGACAGCTGGCTGGCCACCAGCCCAAGCTCTGTCCTGGCTTGTACCACCAGTTCTGATCATTTCGTGTCTCCCTAGGGTGCTCCAAACCCCAGCACCCAGGCAAGGAGGACCTGCGGTCCCAGCACTGGCACAGTCAGAAGAGAGATAAACCTTCGAAGTGTCCTGCTTCCCCTGGCTGCTGGGCTCCTCCCCAGATCACACCCACAACGGAGCGGTACAAAAGCCCCCCCTAATCCTGCTTCCCCCAAGTCTGGGCCTTGGGATACTGTGCGCTGCCCAAGAAGATCCCGCAGGGAAGGTGGGCGGCTCGGATCCATCCTGCACAGCCCTGTGATGCTGACCCACCTCATCCTTTGCTGACCCGAGCATCTTTCTTTGTGGAGGCTGAGCTCAAGTCCAGGTCTCTGGAGCACCTGGAGTGGGTCCTGCAGATGGAGGAGCCGGGAGCAGAGCAACACCAGAAAGCCCAGGGAAGTCACGGCAAGCCCTGATTTCCCCATGCCCGGTGCTGCTTGCGGAGCACAGACCTCTGGCATCTTCCCCTGCTTGCTGCCCGTCTGCTCCAGCTCAGGGAACAAACAGGCCCATTGCGATGTCCCAGTCCCCGCTCTGCCCCCAGCTCTGCCCCCAGTGTCCCCTCTCAAGACCAAGGTCAAGACGAAGAAAGCCCCAGTGTCATCACCCCACCAGGCAATGGGGCTGATGGAAAGGAGCCCTCCTGGCGAGGGAAGGGGCAGGGAGGGGGGAAGGAACATGGTTAATGCCCTCATTTGGGGACTCTGTAAGTGCCAGCCTGGACTCAGGAAACCGAGGACTTCCCAAGGAGCTGGCTGGAGGTACCAAGGCAGATCTGCTACCCAAACTGTGCTGTCTGCTCCCCAAGAGCTGTTCCGCAATGGGCTGTCCCCAGTGAGTGAACACAGCCTCCGTGTCTGCCTCGCTGTCACCCTGGAGTGTCCTCGGGGAGGTTCTGCCCCTTCTCCATCCCTATTGTCCTCTGTAACAAGGGCGATCGCAGTCCTACATCTCCTCGCGTGGACTCACAGAACCACAAGGGGTACAGAGGAGAAGGGGAGATGTTCAAGCTGGTTGTGGCTTGCCCTAGGAGAACCTATGGGTTTTATTATTGGCATGAGGTGCAACACATGCGGCAGCGTCACTGCTATCGCACCAGGTAGTCCTTCCTAAAGGTATGAGCTAAAAATCACATCCAAGCAGTCGATCGCCCTTGAATGCCTCAATGAAGGCTCCTGCTCATCCCAGGGACAGATCCTTACCTGTGGAAGTGCTGAGTTGAGTTGCCTCTGGAGCTGGTCACGCTCCCGTAGGGTCTCCTGCAAGCGGCTCTGGGTGACAGAGAGCGTCTCCCGGGTCTCCCGCAGGGTGTCCAGCAGTTTGTCCCTCTCGTCCAGCATGTTCACCATCAGCTGCTCAAAGTCGGCGTCCGCCTCAGAGCCCTGGGGGGGACCCAGAGGGTCCCCCTCGCTGATGGTGGGCATCACCTCGCACATCATGGCGAGGTGCGATGGGTGGGCAAGGGTCCTGAAGGTGTCCGGTGGGATGGGTGGTGGGTGCTGTTGAGCCGCGGGGCCCCGCTCACATCGCTACAGGCTCCCACAGGTCAGGGAAGCCAACACGAGAGGGGGCAATGGGGTGGTGAAGGTGGGGGGGATCCCCCATCCCTTCTTCTTGGGTGCTAAGCAGAAGCTGGCATGACTCTGGCGGGGATGGAGGGACCTCCTTGGCACTAACAAGGCCCTCACAGTCTTAAATCCCTCCGCTTGGTTGCTTGTCACCGCCAGGGTCCCTTGTGTCACCTCTGTGATGACTTTCGGAGGGGCTGCAGCATCAGTGAGCCATGGGGGTGTTCAGAGGGGGACAAAGCGACCCTTGAGGACTTGTCCCAATGGGAAACCCAAGCTGGCAGCAGCACAGGGAGGGTCCGGGGGATATTTGGGCTGCCCGGGCATGCTGAGGAGGAGTCCGGTGATGGTGGGCTGTTCTCCTCAAGGCTGGATGAGATGGTCACTGCTGATGTGGGAATGTGTCTCCGTTTGGCATCACAGCTCTTCAAACACACAACGGTGACCTACAGGAGAGGGGACAGAGATCAGATCCCTCCTGCTGCCCCCAAAATGCCCAGGGCACCTGCCCAGCACTCTTTGCCCCCCATCAAACCCTGGAGGGCTGCAACAGGTGGGCTCAGCCCCCACAGGAAGGGGCTGTGTCAGGTTGTACCACCCTGCACCCAGGTAGTCACTACACTGCATCCAGGATGGTACCAAGCTGCAGAGAACAGTATCCCCAGCACCCAAAATCCTGCAATCACTTTTGGCATTCACATATCCTGGGCCAGGATCCCCTCCCCTCCATGGAGTGCCAGGTTGCTGAGGGACCCCATGGCCCAAGTGTCCTCCAGCCATGGAAACTCTCCGTTTGCAGAAAATCAGGCTCAAACCTGAGTTTGGCCCAAACCTGGTATGAAGTCACAGCAACAAATGAATTGCATGATCAGATTAATGTTCACCCCCTCGTCTCCCTGTGGCACCAACGGGGATAGACACAGTGGGACCGGCCGTTCAGTGGTAACTTCAGCACATCCTCAGTTGGTCAAACCTCTACCCAGGGGATGGAGGCAGCAGCATCCCTGAACTACTGCCCAAGCACAAGCACTGTTCCCCAGCCGATGCCAGGGATGAGAGGCTGGAGGGGAGAGGCAGAGCCACCAATTTAGGCAGCATTCTGTATTTAGGCTGGATTAAAGCATGGCTGGACCTGAGAACTCAGCCCTGGGGGTGACGCTGGTACCCACAGCCTCGCCTCCACTTTTGCAGCCCAAAACCATCATGGGCAAGGCGCCAGACTGGGATTTCTACTGATGTAGCCCTTTGGGTCAGCTTCAGCCCACTACAGCTGGTCAAGGGTCCCCAGCAGTGTGGGTCAGTGTGCCCCTGTCACCCCAGCCACCCTGGGGACCTGCCCACCCCTTATCATCGTCTTTGCCAGGCTCGCTCTGCAAGGGGACAAACCAGGGGCAGGATTTGAGTCGAGCAGCAAAACACGCCGTGGCAAGCTCGGGGCGAGGGCAGCTGGTCTAATGTCGGTTATTGGGCAGTCCCCCTTAAGTTTTTAGATTTTTACAACATTTATAATGCTCAAGGATAGGTCTGAATAGCCTTATATCACTCCTCTTTCAAACCAACATACGCACATGGACAAAAAGGACCTGCATGCGGTCACGGGTCGGATCAGCCCGTTCTGGCCCTTTGGACTGGAATAAAAGCTTGTGTCTCAACCAGCTCGGCAGCACAGCGGGGCACTTCTGCCCTGCTCAAAGGCGACGTGCGTAAGGAGATGCTTTCGTGCACACCCAGACACACACTGCCGGGGCCGGGGGAACCGTAGCTCCGTTCTTGGGATGACATTGGCTCATCAGCTGATGGGAAGTTTGACACAAAAAACCCCTCTAAAAATAGAGAAGCCCTGGCAAAAGCACCGGCCCCTCAATGTGCATCCAGCGCCTGATGCTGAAAGCCAGCTCCTGCGTGCCGGGGACGTGGGAGAGGGCTGTCCCACCGGTGGGTGTCAGACCTTCTCCTCCTTTACAGATTTAAGTCACATTCCTCAAGTGGGATAAAACCTGTTATGGGCCTGTAACACTGTGTCCCGAACATCTGAGGATCGTTCATGCTTCTTCCTGGCTGTCGGGACACGGTTGACCAGGATAACTGTGCACTGAGGACAGCCCATCCCCGCAGCATCCTTGCAAAAAGGTGGCTGGTGGAGGAAAAGGCACAGAGCGAGGGACCGTTCCAGTCCCCTGCTCTTCTTGGGTTGACTTGGACATGAGCCTCATCTCCATAATTAAGCAAGTAAAATGTTTTCCTGTCCTCCTTCCCCTAATTAGCAGTCCCAGTGGTACCCACACATGAAGATGGCCACGCTGCCAACCTTCCTGGAGGGCAGATGCCCCGGGCTCTAGGGAGACTTGGGATCAAGAAGAGCAAAAATCAGCCTTACCCCAGGGCTAAGCCCTACTAATTTGGGTGCAAAACCCAAATGAGGCGACTTCGATGCACCATTTCGCCGCTGTGCCTCTGCTTGTGGGATGAGCATGGAGGAAGCATGCCCACACCGTGGAAAGCCAGACGGCCCCCCGAAGGCAATGTGAATGGCAAAATCAACGACGTGGCCGCATCCCCACTCCAGCTGCTGGCGAGGAATTGAATCAATTAGCAGGTGAATTAAGAGATATCAATCAAAGCACGGAGGGAAGAGCCCTGCAAGCACTCAGGGAGGGGAAATGCTGTAGGGAATGGCCAAGACATAAATCTGATGTGGAAACTCTCCGTTTCCATCCCATCGCTGGCACGGGATGATGGGATGGAAATTTATCCCAGCTGCAAAGGACAGACTTGTTTATTATGAGGAGACTCTGCAGATGCCAGTCCCAGTCTGTTTGTGGCAGGTCCCCACACCCCGTGGAGGTAATCCAAGGGGCTGGACCCACACGGTGCAGGAGAAGGCACAGATTTACCCCATGCATCACCCAAGGGCTAATTTTCTTTTTTGCTTCCACCCCCCCGGGTTGAGCTCATGCATGGGTGATTGGGGGGTTGGGTAAGCCCATGTGCTACTTTGCTTCACTGCAACCTGCTCCTGTAGGCAGTTATATCCCATTATATCTGCTGTGCTTGTGAAGGGAGACTGGGGGTGATAAGCACAGCCCGACACCTCAGCCTGGGGAGGGTGAGAACAGGATCGTGAGGACCTTGCGCAGCACCGATGCTGGTCCAGGATGGACTCAACCCATCTCACTGGCCCCAAAAGCTCCGTCCTCCTGAGCACACTCAGCAAAGACATGATACGGCATAAAACTGTCCACCCAGGACAAGGCAACGCTTAGTGACTCAAAGCTCCTCCATGCCCAGGGTTTGGGGGATGTCTTCATTGGAGGGTGCTCAAGTTCTCCCCTTGCACCCAGGCGTGGGTGCCACTGAGGATACACACCGTGGTGTAAGGCAAGGAGAGCTGCTACGGTCCTCTGCAGCTGGAGATGCAAGGATGAGACTACCGACCACCACAAAGAGCAGCCAAAGCCCCCCCTCGTCCTGACCTGAAGCCCCCGGGCAGGGGTTGGGCATCCAGCCCAGGGCTTTCAGGGCTCTTCTCGCTCCCCATGACACTGCTGCACCGCGAGCATCCCTCTGCCAGCAGGTCCCTGGCAGGTAAATCCAGGCCGATGCGTTTCTGAGTGTGGCTCTGGAAACAATTCAGCCACATGTGCCTGTCTCCTGGTTGAACCCACGGCAGACCCCAAGTGTGGAAAAATCCCTGGACCGCGGAGGCACTGTCCACATCCATAACCGCTACGGACCGACGCTGAGCTGCCTCTAGCATCCCGTCGCAGAGCCATCCTGCCAATGACCGCGGGGCAACTCTCCTACCCCTTGGACTCAGGAGTGATTATTTCTGCATTCAGCCACAGCAGCTTTCACTGCAAAACCAGAACAACAGCAAAACCACAAGCCCCCGATGCATCCAGCTAATGGGAAGAACCATCATCCGGGGTCAGGGCGGTTGCAAAGGTTTGATTTGTGATGCCAAGTGAGGAAGCCAGGAGCAGGGTGGGTTTGGTACCCGCTGTCTTCAAGCCTTTTGGAGTGGGAAGTGTGTTTGATGAGCAACAGGCACGGGTGAGCGTGCAGAGATGTGCACACACGCAGGGACATGCACGCATGCAGCGACATCCAAGCATGCAGGGACATGCACACGAGTAGGAATGTGCATGGGCACAGGGACCCTCCTGCCCAGGGGCAGCTCCCCTCGACACGAGCATCCTCTCATTTCTGCACCACCTCAAACCTTGGGATTTTCTCCCTTCTCCAAAAGCAACAGAAAACCCATTCCCACGCACCTCTTCTCCCGGGAGCCCAGCTGGCAGTTGCATACACAAAATGCCATCCCCGCATAGCGAAGCTCAGCATTTCTTCGGTAGATCTGCACGTCCAACCGGTCACTTTTAAAGACCTTGGGGGTGTCAGTGTGGACGACAGCCCAAACGCATCACACACTTTGCTGGTGACTTTAGCAGCAGCGAGGGCAGATCGAAAGCAGCCCCTTCGGCACTGGATGTCGGAGGGGTCTGAGCTTGCTGGCAATTAGCAGCAAAATGCTGCTTGTGAATCCCAACCTTTCAACTGTATCTGGTAAAACCACATAAATGCTACTGCCTGGGTTTAGAGGGTCTTAACTGATGGGATAATCATTGGGTAGAGGAGTGAGGATGCGAGGAGACAGCTGGTGAGCTGAGAAAATAGACACTGCGCAGCTCTAGCCCTTTGCTGGGTATTTTTAGTCCCACGGGGCTGCCAGGCACAGACTTGCTGGAAGCAGGTTTGTTGCCAGTGAAAACGTGTTTGCTGTACTATCCCTTCCCCCCCCCAAAAATGATGCTTTCCCCACTCTTTGGGATGGAAAACAGCACAGTCATGCGCTGCCCGCTTGGAGAGGT